ACATGCAGAAAAACAAAATGAATATTTTGTTAATATATACATGTTTTAATTATATTCATTGTTTATTTATAATACAATTAAATATAAGCAATTTATAAATATTAAATCTATTTGTAATTACTATTTACGAAATTACATAACAGTATATACATCTTTCTCAGTGTTAAAATTCCTTTGCATAGTTTTCAATTTTAATGAAGCTAATAGAAAGAAATTAATACTACTATGCTAAAGGTTTTTACACTGCTGTTATAGCTGTGGGGCCTAGTCATCAAATATGAGCTCTTAATCACCAAAGCAAGAGGTCTTTGCAATACCTATGGAGCCAAAGAGCATAATAACCAAGTATGGGTCTTTACACTACTTGCAGCAGCCGCAGACCTGTTAGCGCTAACCAATAAACAAGTGTCAATATACTACTTTTTGGTTTGCAAATTACTAAAAGACAGATAGAAGTGATAGAATGAAAAGAAAGATAGTCTTCTCTGCCAAAAGCCTAAAATGCTCTTGCCTTGGCATTAACAATCTCTCCTTTCTTACATGCTTGTTACACATTCAGAACTATAAAATAACTCTTACCATTCTAATAATCATAGTAATTCATATTTCAAAATCATATGAAATTACAGACATCTATATTTAGTTAAAAATAAAAATTTATATTTAGTAGAAAAAATAAGTAAAAATAAAAATCAAAAGCTTATTTTCCAGACCATCTTCAGGACTATCATCTCAACCTAGCCTGGTATACATAAAACTATATACTGTATATTAATATGCCAATTTCTAAACTTAACATAATTTGGAAAGTCAAATACCTTTCTGTGCTTTAACAAAATTTTTTTTCTAACAATTTAACTATCTGTATTTCTAACAATCTTTAATCAAGGCACTAGCTAGCCTAAAATATCTTAAAATATATGAAATTAAATTGCTAATTTTACATGATCAGAAAATTATTTTGAATATCTATTATTTGCAGAAATTCAGAGTATAGTGTAAGTGCAATGCCATAATTTGTTGTAATTATCTCTTAAACCATAATGCAGGCAAATTTGCTTGCTAAAAATTTTTTTAATTTGTTTTTGTATAATTGCTTCTAATTTTTCTAAGCTTTGCCCCCCTTTTATTAAGCTCAAATAAAAGCTTACTACATTATTGATTGATTATAATTTTTGTTTTACAGTACCTTCTATATGTATAATACAATAACAATCTAAAGATAATGCATATATATAAGTAACTTAATAACTAATAATCAATGACAAGCACAAAAAATAAATTTTTTATGCTCTATTAATGTCTCCCAAATCAAATATATATATATATTGTCTTCAAGTTCATTTTGGGCTCATTATCTTTGAGTTTGTCAACTTCAGACTAATCTTCTTTGAGTTCGTTATTTTTGTCTCCTTCTAAAAGTGTAAATATAGACAACAAAGATAAATACTTACCAATTTTGACATTCCATCAACATGCCTGGAGTAATATGAAGCAGAAATAAATACAAAAAGTTCTTGCAAAAGAAAACATAAAACAACAGAATTCATACAACTTTCACTATCACTATCTAACTTTGAGCCACTTGTTTATTCAAATTCACTACATATAGTAAATGTTAAGTTGCTACCAATTTTTATATCAATGTTTTCAAGCCAATTGATTTTTTTTTTTTTATAAATATTATATTAGACACAATGGTCATCAATATAAATTTGTATATATAAACAAAAAATACCAGTGTTAGTAGTAGGAATTGGCATGATGTAAACTGTAAAGTGTTTGTTATTTAGATAGCTATAGTGCTCATCAAAATCAAACTTTTTTTGACATTTAAATACATGTGATGATATGGCTTTTAAATCAATACCAATATGGTAATGTGATAATATAGTAATACAGTATTGCTGTATTAATTTAAAAGTTAGCCTATCACATATATTTGAGTGTCAAAAAAAAATGTTTGTTTTTGCTGAGCACTAAATAGCTCTAGCTATCTACCAAGAATTTTTTAAAGTACCTTCTCTCAACCAATACTGGAATAAGAGCCTAAAATTTCCTATCCACTATATTTTAAAGCAAATATAAGTAATACACTTTGAGCAAATAGATTGTATATCAGAATCCTGATATACAAAATCCTGATACACAAAATTCCAGCAACAAAATCTCAATAAACAAAATTTTGACAAATTAGAATTCTAAAGATATTAAAATTAGAATTTTAATTTGTTAGGATTTTGTGTATTGGGATTTTGTTGTCAGGATTTTGTGTATTAGGATTTTGTGTATTGAAATTCTGATATGCAACTGAACAAATAAAAAGTTTTTGCATTTTCTCTCAAAAAATAATTAGAAATTATTTTGATAAAGTAAAAACATTGCTTTTATATATTCAGGATACTTCGAAGCAATATTATATACTAGGTTTGAACATTTCAGTAAATGAGATGATGATTCAATTTTTGGATAAAACATATATACAGTCTGAATAAAGAACAAACCCATCCCAGAAGGTTATAGTTTTCTTGTTATGTAAATAGATATACTTATACTTTCTTGCTATATTAAGTGCTTCACTAAGTGACTTAGTAAAAGTGAGTGATTTTAGCCAAACTGGGTGTTTAGTTCTTCACCTCAATGAGCTTTTATATTAGCAGATGCTATACAATGTGTACATGGATATATTTTACCAGTGTACCTCTTTTTCAGCATCTCTGGTAGATTGTTGTTGGATCTTGTAAAACAGTTTGAAAAACAGCCTTAGGGTTTCCCAAAGAACTGAAAATGGATAAGACTGTTAAACTCGATTGGGATATCCAATCAGGTGTTGTAGTAAATAGTGTGTTGGCTGTTTTTTGGCAGGACAATAGGCAAGTTACAATGTTATCATCAATTCATGGTCTTGTTGGTGATGAGTGAAAAATAGAATGAGTAAGATGGTGACCAAGGGAAACAAGCACAAATGCAACAAAGGTATATGCAGTATTTGGTTCAGATGCAAAAAAACGCTAAAAATCCCCAAAATAATTGACAATTACAATAATAATATAAATGCTATGAACATCACTGATCAACTGTGATCCTATTACAACATACAACAAACAACACAGTAAAACTAGATGCCACTTTTTTTTTGGTTGCTTGATATAGCAATTATCAATGCATATTTAATCGCTCAAACCTTGGGATCTAAACAGGGGCATAAGAAATTCTGACATGAGCTGGTTTGGGGCCTTATCAAATTCTGCAAATAATAATGACAAAGTTCAGTTAAGGGTGAAAAAAGAAACAAGAAAAAGTCCAAGAGTAAAGCGGCAAAAGTAACAAAAAAATTTAACTTTTGGATCAATGACAAGTACCTGGGAACTACTTGGCAGAATGAAAAAAAAACGTGAAGTGTGCTTGTGGTGTGCTTGGCTAGCAAGCAGGAAAAACTGAATATGAAATGTAAAATGCCACACCAATGTCAAATCTGGTGCATGATATGAAATGTGCCCATCTACTGCAATAAAAATCGAAATTGGTTTATTAGGTTTCATATTGATAAATAAAGAGAACCTTTAAATATTTTTTTCTTAATACAGTACGTAATTATTTGAGTTTATTTTATGAATTTTCTTTTTGACCCAAAAATTTATCGGATTGAAGCACTTGAAAACGTTTAAAGTCAGCCAATTGACTTCATAAATATCCAATAATTTAACCTTATTTGGTTATTAAATACCTGATACGTAATTAATTAGTAGTTTGTTTAATGAAATTTTTTTTTTCCTCAAGCCAAAATTTTACCGAATCGAAGCACTTGAGAATGCCAAAATTCAGCTTCTAATCGACCTCACAAATATTCAATAAATTAATTTTATTTTAGTTACTAAATATGTAGATTGTGTCCATTATTTTTACTTCAATTAAGCATGTTAGGGTCTGGTTCGCCTTGACGGTCCGTAATTTGGGTTACACGGTACAATTTCATCATTTCGGGGCTGCCTCTTTTATGTAATGCAAACTTGTGCCTTTTACTTAGATCATATGACAACGTAGTACAATAAAACTATTATCTGCAGCACGTGTTCTGACATCTTAGAGGTCACCCTAATCGATTTGCGCAATAATTTCCATAAAATTTTTTTTTTTACTATGTTACTGTAAGCTTTTTTTTGACTATTTTTAGCGGCAAATTTGCCCGCTAAAATTTACGGTTTAAGGGATAATGAATTACGGCATTTTTATTCATTATAAATTACGACATTTTTATTCATTATACGACAACTTTATTCATTATACAACATTTTTATTTATTATAAATTACAGCATTGTGCTTACACCACTAGTTCAGTGTAAGTAACAGGAGGAACCGTCAATGTTACACGACTGATCCTTCACCCGGTGTGCAATATATAAAAAATTTATTTTACAATACCAGATCATTCCGCTAGTGCATGTTATGATTATAATCCCACACGATTTTTATTATAATTAAATGGTGTGGAATTATAATTATTACATGTACTAGTGATCTGGTATTGTAAAATAAACTTTTTATATGTTGCACGCCGGGTGAAGGATCAGCCGTGTAACATCGACAGTTACTGTAAGTTAATAGAGGTTTCGGAGAATGAACAAATTTAAATTGTTCTAGAATATGTGTGAACAATTGGTATTCGTACGATACATAATACGAATATATATATTTTTAGCTAAAATCTATCCTTATCTAACTGGTAATGTTTTGTTGGTAACTCGTTAAATAGAGTCAACAATCATTTTAATAGGTAACGTAACTAAATGTATCCATAATGGACAAAATAATTGCAACACGATGTCACAAATGTTTTTTTTACACAATGACCATATTTATTCATAATAATCGGAAAGTTTTTCCATACTACCGCTTAAATTGTGAAGTTTGTGTAAAGGTAAATCTTATAAAAGTTCTCTCAAATTTCATCCGAATAAAATTCATTCATATTTTTTTCAAAAAAAAAACATAAAAAATCATGACTAATAAATTAAGTGAAGAAGAAATCGAGAAGGTGATTAAGGCTTCTATGACCTGCACACGCCTTCCTTACTGTTGTAACAATAAATAATTATTTTGTAATTTCAAAGTCGCTAATTTTATTATTATTATTATTGTGTTAGCTTTTTAAAAAATTCGACGCCAATGGCAACGGCATATTATCTCTCTCTGAAATACAAACTGCGGTAATCTCAACTTATCCACAATATAAAGAAAATAAGCCTGCTATAATGCGAGCTTATAAAGCTGCGGATGCTTCAAAAGTTTGTTTTGTTTAATTTACATTGTACTTATTCGAAGCATACATTCAACTAACGAAAAAATGTTAAATCAGGATGGCTACGTTCAACTTGAAGAATTCGGTCGTCTTATTGATCTTCTTCATTATTATAATGAGCTATACGAAATTTTCCAAAAACTTGATGTAGATCATGACAAACGTATTACTTTTGAAGAGTTTAAAAAGGGACATAAACTCATTAAATTACAGGGACTTTCAGACGAAGAACTTAAAGAAGAATTTACCAAGATTGATACAAATAATGGTGGACTAATTCTTTTTGATGAGGTAAGTCTAAATTATTTCTAGCCAAGATTTAATGGTTTTCCGTATACTAAACTTTTATTTTTAAATTTTCAGTTCTGTATTTACGCAGCCAAAAGAAAATTATTAAAAAAAGATTTTTAAACAAAACTACTTATCTAAATTTATTTTTGTTATTTTATACAATATTTATTTATGTAATACAACATTTATTTGCGTATAAAGTATCATTATAATAATGAAATTATTCTCATAAATAAATCATAACCATTATTGTTTCTCTGTTTTGATATTCATATACCTTTACGTTGTGTGATATTACATTTGGTGTCAAACTCGGAAACGTCATAACAATAATAATTGTAAATAATGTTCTATGTTAAGGAAAAACCTGTAAGCCAGTTTTTCATATTTTATCTTGTCTTGCAGTCTATCAATCCAAGTTAATTTTCTGATACTAACCAAAAATCAACTTCTAAAAATTTAGTATTTATTATCGGCTTTCTTTGTCAAACTCATCGAGATATCATAAACTAACAAAAATAGAAATTAAGCAATATCTTTTGTTATCACCATTATTCCAAATATTCTTTTTGCGGGCAAACTCCGCAACTCCGCTAATTATAATTGAACGCACAAAAAATGCGCGGCAGATCCACAATTTTGATTGGTTAAGAGCGACGATCAAAAAATTAGCTCGATTTTACTAATGAAATCGCAGCCCATTAATATTAAGTGAAAATTGCAATTTTACCACAATGCAGGTTTATTTTTTAAAAACTTCTATTTTTGTAATGAAAAAATTAACCGTTAATTCCGGCCGGAAATTAGTAAACAATTATGTAATGCGGGCCAAAATTTTGAAGATCCTCAGTCGTTAGTCAATCAAAATCGAGGGCTAATGCTAAGTATCCATTAATGATTACTAATCATTAGGGCATCTATTCTATAGAACATCCACCTTTTTGATACATAATAATTTTTTCCATAATTTTTTACAGTAAATCTTAGCATATACTATGGTTTCTAATATACATCGATCAAAAATTGCAAATTTATGTTCGACATTCTCTTCTATTGCACATGGAAGCCTTATAATAAAGTATTATTAAATTTTTAAAAAAAAAACTCTGGATCATCTATAACGATATTACGTCTATTCAAAATTTTTCTATCATAGCTATTGCAATTTCATCAATCAAGATTGCGAATTTAATAATTCTTGCAATAGTAGATTTACCAGCACTGTGAGGCACTGACTGGTTATGTTATTTCCAATTTTGGTTTAGTATTAATAATCTTACATGTATCATCAAACTTTACAAATGTAAATCTACGATTTGTATATACGAGTTTAATGAAGCGATATACGCTTGCTTGAATATGAATTCCTAAAATGTCACAATCACCCAAAGATTTTCTGGTAATGCCCATTTCTACACGCATTAGTCGCATAAATTCTAGCAAGACATCTTTTAAGAGTGAATCGCTTGAAAAACTCATTAAATTCGTTATTTTATTATCAAATTTTTTGTTTTTGATGTAAAAATACATGCAAAATGGACCCTTCCATTTGTATAATTATGAAGGTGATATAAGTAAGAGGATATTTGTAAGTCAAAATTTGTATTAATGCTTAAAAACTTTATTAATAATTTTTGTTTAAACAAATAGTAGATATTTTTATTGCTATAAATAATATATTTACAAAATATTAAGACTAATTTTTTGATTTAATCATTTACAAATAGCAATTGTTTTTTTTGAATTTGGGATTTGTCCGGGTTTTGCCAGCAAGTATATGTATATGGGTCAGATAAACAATAACATAGCTCTATTTCTTTATAACTAGACCTGCTAAGACTGGAAAATTCTACTTTATCAATATAATCATAAGAATACTTGACTAAAGGCATTCAAATTACTTACTATTGGTACTAACTAGCATAGTGGTGCAGAATATAAATGGAAAAACTATCCACTCCGAACTATGCATATCATCCACCTATAAAAGATTCTTCACACAAGTCATCACAAACAAAGAACTCCCATCTAAAACAAATTGATACTAAAATAATTGACGAAATATCAATACTATATGCAAAACTACTAAACTTCATCTCCAACCTATTCACCAACCTACACAACAATGCAACAGTATTTAGTAGCATCAACATAATCATTATCAGTAATCTCTTACAATTATCTCCAGTCACAGGACAACCTATATTTTGAGCATCAATCTGGTTACTTTTCTATCTCTTATTTCTTAGAACCCCTTAAAGACAAAATACTGACTCCCAATTCTATGCCCTCTTACAAGAAGTAAGAACAGGATCAATTTCTACAGAAACCTGGAACATACTACATAATATCACACCAAATTCCTCAACCACCCCATACTAGATATATTATTAAACACCACTTATATAATAAGGTTTAGAGAAAATACACAATGAATAAACAGAATAATCTGCAGCATGCTCTTGTATCAAATAATAAATTTCTAATCTCAAATGTGACTGATTACATAGATGTTACCCTGTGAAAAATCACTCATTCTGACAAAATGTTCAAACAGAAAACCAATCTACTATTTTCCATCTGTCTACAACTTGGTACAAGAGTAATACACCTCAACAATTTGTTAATCAAATATGAAATATGCAATGGCACTGTAGGAGTAATAACCGACATAGATTTTGAAAATTTTTTAGTCCAAATAACCTTTTCAATCAGAGGCTCCATTATAGATATTAACATATACAAAGATACCTGTTACTTCCAATTCAACAGAATAAATTGTCACTAAACGCAATTCCCCATCAAAAACTGCTTTGCTCTCACCGTTTACAAGATACAAGGCTTGACACTTTCCAAAGTCTTACTCTCACTAGATGAAAATATATTCTCCCTGGGCCAGGCCTATGTTGCCCTAAGTAGATGCCCTTTTTAGAACAATGTAGAGATATCCCACCTCAATAGATCAGTATTTAATGCTGACCAAAATATAATCAAAGAATACCAAAGATTAGAAAATATCATTGCCATAAACCCTACTCCAATTCCTTAAAAACCTTTTTCTAACAAAACAAAATAAAAAAAATCTACAAACAAACCAATAAAAATATACAAAACTAAAAAGTTATTACAAAAAAAAATAATTATTAAACCATTGCAAAACCTTTAAATTTATTTTAATTAATCACTATTAAAATACAAAATATTAAAATATAACAGTTAACAATCCAAATCCCTTTGAATAATATCACTGTACTACATGACTATGCCCACCACATGAAAGTCATTAAAAAAACTAGCTAGTTTTTTGACTAAAACATATATAGTAAAAACAAAAAAAGTTATGCCAAACATGCTAGAAGAATAGCTTAAAAAGGCTATTTCTTATAGGCATATTAATTATATCAAATACAATAACTTTATAGACTCTATTTTGATTAGTATTGGAGGTGAAAAGGTTCTTGAATATAAGTAGAGAAACAACGAATTAACTATTGCTCTTAAATATCTTAAAGTTGATACAAGTATTAATAAAAGAATTATTAAAGATTTTATAATGAGGTATTATACCAGGAACGGAATATGAAGTATATAGTGTATGGTTTATAGGCAAGTTAAGTAGTATAGCTCTTTTAATTCTGATTGGACAACCTGTTTATATAATTTCATCTCTATTTGTATGTTTCTATCTATATCAGGAATACAGTCATACCTGATTTATATTACTCCCTTTTTCCAGAGCATTTTTGGTGATATAACTAAGGTGGAGATAAAACTCAATATATAAACTATATAAAAAAAGGAAATTTATTCTTCTAAAAAATAGGGATATAACTCAGGTTGGGATATAACCCAGTGGGGATATAACTCAGGTATGACTGTAGTGTGCAGCGCATCCACTTATTTGTGCTGGTAATACAAATCTCTAAAAAGAAAATGGCCAATCAGAGAACATAAAATATAATGATCCCGGATCAGCCCAACACATGAGCAAAGCAAAGAAAAACACCGAAAAAGAGAAAATACTCAAAAACTAGTATTTAAATTAACCTTTTTGAACTAATAAAAAATAATGAGAATGAAATTTTACATATAAAAAACTCAAATTATCACTAAAGCTCACAACCATAACACTAACCCTAACACTAACCCTAACGTCCTAATTCTAAACTTTCTTAGTTTATTTACAAATATGATTTTCTTTTTTGGTTTGTATTACTGGCGCAAATAAATAAATTGGTGTGCAGCGTCTTGGGTTTTTAGTATTTTGCATAACTGGGTTAGCATTAGATATACCAGTATTTGATATCTGGTTAGCAATTATGTTTATGCATGATCGACAATCAACTGAAGCTATATTTGTATCAAGATTGTTAACTTTAAAGCCCACAGTATGAAAAAGTGCACATACATACTAACACAAGATTAGCATGATAGCATAATGCAATGTACATAGTATGTTCCAGAAAATGTACTCTTTAATATGATTCCTTCCTATAATTAATAACAATAATCCTTTCTCTTCCTCTTATAATAAAAATTATGGCTATTGGCTAATCTTATATATATGCATATATTCGACTTTGATGTACTGTACATAATGTACTTTGTGTTATATGAATATAAAAATTTATAATCTATTTATGATGTTATAATTATACGTACATACGTATATCCTATTTTTTTTATAACTTCATAAGGATCACTAAACTGTAATGTTGTAACAGGATCATTATTATTCATAATTGATCTGTGAATTAATAATCAATGCGTGAAAATTGAAAATAGATATAGAACCAACCAGTTATTCTTATTCATATTCAAGAATCAATCAATATCTACAAAGTGCATATAATGAACAAAGGATTAATTGAGATATAGATAGTAAGGTTTGTAGCAGAATTTTTACAGTAACTCATGATTAAACTATAATAATTCTAATGCAAACTAACTCAACTACATACTATAATTATTAGAATAGCGAGCAAGTAACAAAATGTTTTACATTAGTGTTCTCATGTCCAGTTCAAGCCTGATAAAGTCCAGACTTGAACTCTAAATTTTGCAGAACTTTGAACTCAAACCAGAACCAAACTTTATTTTTAGAACTCAAACCAGACTCAAACATAACTAATAGTTTGGTTTGGGTTCAGTTTGAAAGTTTGCAAACATGTTCAGATTTAATAGAAATGAGATCTATTATCCATTTTCCTATTTAAAGTTAAGGATGCTTTATAATATTTTTGTTATAAATTTATCCCAGATTGCATCTCTAACTCTAAACAAATACTCAACTCTATCTATTATTATTAGAACTAGTAATGGTATATGCATGTATTTTGAGAATCATGCTTATGATTTTGGAGGTATATTTTAATATATCTAGTACTGTAAGTTTATCTAGCCAATCATTTTTTTTGTGTGAAAATAAGATACAACTTATATTCTTCATTTATTTCGAATTATCAATTTATTTTAATGCTAAAAATATGTGTTTTCATGGCTGCAAGAGTAAATATGATCCTCAAAAATATAGAAAAGACCAGGGCATAAATTTGAATATTTTACAGTATTTGTTGTATCATGATGACTAATCCATACAGCTAATCATTTCTAAAATAAGTATTTAGAAATTATAGAAGATTTGGGTAGTTGGATGGTCAAATTATATGGTAAGAGGGTCTAAAATATCTACCATATAAGTGCGAATTAAAGCCCATCTGCATGCTAATTGATTGATCTATGCGTTATTTAAAATATGTCCATATGCGTTATTTCGAAATAAGAGAAAATTTTTTAAATCCAATACAATTAACCTTCCATAGATGCATGCTGTTAGGTAAAAGTACATTTATAGAATATTCATTATAGAGAGAAATAATTTTTATGCATAATATCAAATAATTATATTAGACTGATCAAATTATATGCACTTATCATTATAGAGAAAGTGTTCTTATAGAGTGTGCACATCTGAAGTATCAACTATATATCATTTATTACAACAATAGATTATATGCAAATTAGGATGCTGTTAATCCAGAACATAAATGAGTGCTAATTCGAGACTATATAAATTATTTTTGATCCAATTTTCAAAATAATGCCCACATGCATTATTTTTGCTTATATAGTATTAAAACTTATTATAATTTGCATTTATTTGTTGATTGGTGCAAATTTTTTTTAATGGTTAATGCTACCAACTTGGCACACATTCAAGAAGTGGGCAATTCAGTATTTCAATGTCATCTAACTTGGCACATATTCAAGAGGTGGTAGGCAATTCAGTATTTCAATGTCATCTATAACCAGGTCTGTATATATGGGTTTTCAACAAAAAACTATACCATACTGAACAGCTATTATATATAATAGCTGATAAGTATAGGACACTTTATTGTATACTCTCATATTAGACTATTCAAGTCACCCATACTATATTGATATTCTGTAATCCCAAATACATCTATCGTTATTAA